TACTGCTAATTTGAATTTGTTAGATGTATAAATAAAAAATCAGTCAGCTATTATCTAAGATAATTAAGTAAAAATTTATAATAAACAAGGAGAGCAATTGAGGTGTGTCTTTAATCAATGAAACATTCATAGTGCCAACAGTGCAGTGCGCAGAAATTTTCGTAATTTGTACTATGTCGAATCACAATTAATTAATTTAGTCAATTATTTTATAAACGATAGCGAGCTTGTAGCGAATCATTGAGCGTAAAGATCAATAGTACGCAATTAGGCACACAGAATCAGCTAGGCATACGCGTATTAGCCGTGGTTATGAACCTTTTGCGGATTCTTGTTATGCAAAACTTTTATTTCAAGACAAATTTTTCTTAATATTTAATGAGCTTTGTGATGTATTATTTGAAATATGTTTAAAACGTTTGAAATAAACTTAAAGTCCCCCCGCTTCTAATTCAAGCGGCATCAAGCAAATGAAAAGATAAACGTTGAATATGTAGATTTACAAAAAATTCACAAAAGTGCACGATTACAATTAGCTTCATATAGATTTGAAGAAATATTTAAAGGATTTTCATGTCGACGACAACTGAGACTTCAAGGTGGATATGATATTCGATTCGTTCCTCTTTGTTATTGATCTGCATGCACTTCTTTATGACAATATTCAATAATTAACAAACAAATTCCGCGAACGCCGACGCAACACAGCGTACATATACTTGACACAAGGTGCGTACCATTCGCCTCACGTTTCATTTGGCCCGAGAATATTTGAGAGGTCTCGTGACTGTCCTGAGAAGCAGAACCAATTCGCCATATGTTGACTTTACGAAGGGGAAGAGAGAAAAAGAGAAAGGGAGAAGGGAGAGCGGGGAAGTATGAGCGTACCAACGTACGCGGCCCATATCAGAGGTGAGTCGCTCGGCGAATCGCTGGATGGAGTTGTTCGGAGACAACCGGACAAGGGCCGCGTGCCTAAAAGTATATTCGTGAGTTGGGTTTCATCGGGTGTACCGTTATAAAGTCGCCCAAGAATAGTTTGGCGCGAATGACCACGGCCCATTTTCTTCTTTTTTCGGCTTCTCCTCCTCACCTACATCTCACTCGGGTCCTCACCGCCAGTTTCGTCTCCGCTTTGTCCTTCGTCCTCCGGCCACTTCCAACGGATTTTCGACATCCTCCTTCTAACGGACGCCCTCCTTTACGGACCTGCGTTGCTCGCACTCGTTGATTACCTTTTTCATTCGAGGAAGCAGGCCAAAGGAACGGGATCGGGAGACGCGCAATGGACGATCACGATCGGTACGGTTAATGGGTGGCAAAAAGACAAGACCGATATGTCGGTAATATTGTCTATTATAATTAATCATATGTATCGTCGTATCTTAGATGATCAAAATTAAGCAACGCGTCGCACGAACACGCAGGCTTTATATCTGCGTTAATTGCGAACGAGTTTCTCAATTATATGTATGTACGCTTTAAAGTGAGATGATTTTTATTATTAGCTTTATTGGGATGATTTATTATCCATTTTAATAGAATTACAATCGTGTTTCTTAAAATATGAATCTAGAAATTTGTTTTCAACCAAAGTACAAGTTCTGAATCGGCATTTTTCTTCTAAACACTTTTGTATTATTTTGAGGCATTCTTGTAGCTTACACGTATATTATACTTTTAGGAAGAATGCGAAGTCACGTAATGCCGCGTACGAATAATTTAATAAAAATCAATCTAAATTGTATTCCCAAGAAGAAGCTGGATTAGTCTCATAAGCGTAAGGTCAGTGCGCCCTTACAAAAATCACTTTCCTTCCGTAAGTGTAATAGCACAACCAGTTATCTCTGTTCTATGATGCGTCTTTTCTTAATATGTACGCGGGTGCGCTCGTTATGTGCGAACCTACAAACTATCGGGGAGTCCTCGTAAACTGTAGGTGTGAACGCAAACAAGGAAGAGAAGCGGCGACGACGACGGTGACGGTGGTCGCGAGAGAGAAGGGGATGAGAGAAGACGAGGAAGACGGAAGAAAGGCGGTAGCACGAAATCTCGGATGCGCGCTGGTAACAGAAGCCTGCATCGTACTTTCACTTCCTTCCCTTCCTCCGTTCTCTCCTCTTGCTCCGTCTCTTCCTCTTTCCCTCGCGTTCTCTTCCTCCGACTCTTTCTCTCTATCTTTCTCCTTCCTTCTCTTTCCTCCGCCATAGAACTACTTTTCCTTTCAAGTCCTTGACTTGAGGTGTCCGAAGACCGGGTCCATCCTGAATTTAAAGATCCCTCTTTGATGCAACATATGATACACCGCGAATCCCATTCGAAACCAGCGTTCGTTCGTTCGTTCATCTTCGTTCATCTGGCGTCCTTCCTACCCGCGGACTGCCCACATCGTATGGGATAAATAGCTGCGTGTCCACCCGTATTGCCGGCCTGATCATTGAACGAACTACGAGATATAAAGAAAACGAAGAGAACGAGACGACGACGGCGAAGCAGCCAGGAGGTAGAGAAGGATGGAAAGGAGGAGGAAGAATGAAGAAATGAATACGCGGCATGACCTCTGCTTCACGAGGTGAGAAAGAGAGAAGGAGAGAGAAGATGATGAACGTTGTGTCGAGCGCGAATGGTAGAATGGTGCGCGAGTAAGAGAGGAACATCGCATTGGCGCCGCGGAGGGGAGCAGCGAAGAGAACGAAGAAGACGGTGGGTTGTTTCGCGCGTGTGGCAACGCTTTCGTGCGAAAGACGAGAAGAGACGAGGTGGATGACGGTAAGGAGAGAGAAGCGATCGCGGCCGGCTGGCCGGTCGGATGAACGAGAAGGGACGAGAGAGGAGCAAGAGCGCGAAGGCGCGCATCGGGTCGGATCGAGAAGGAGGTGAGCGGAGAGTTGGCAGACGGTGAAGAAAGACAAAAAGAGAGAAGAGAGGGGAGAGAGAGAGAGAGAGAGGAGGGAGGAGGAGGGAGGGAGGAGAGAGAGAGAGAGAGAGAGAAATTGAAATGAGTCAGTTTCCCTGTGATAAAGCACAATACAGAAAGCTCCTATTCCCATAACGACAGACAATGACATAGCAAA